TCCTTTTGCGTATTTCGCGCGCGCACGTGCATGAAAGAATGTTCGTGCATTCAATTTTGATAGTACCATTATGTAGGAATCCATGATACCTATTCATATTCTAAATTTTATCCCGTTTCGTTGAAAACTAAGAAAGTTATAGACAATTAAAATATCAGCCAATCAGATTGCAGCACATGTGCATGCGCATGTTTTTCATGATAATTCTTATATACCATGCTGTAGATCTTTATAATGTATAACCATGTTCAAATTTTCAAAGGATTTTGTCGAAAAACAAGAAAGATACTGAGACTTTAGTTTCAGCCTATCAGAGCGAAGCGCACGTGCATGCGCGTGAGATCTTACTATTTTGACCATGTCATCTAGTCTATGCTTCTGATATATCCTTATATTATAACTTTCAAAACATTTCATAAAAAAATTAAATAGTTACGTTTATATCAATTATATTGGACATTTCTAGTGTTGCACGTGCGCGCTCTTGCAAGCACACGTGCATGCACATTCTTTCATGATAATTCTTTTATACCAGGCTTTATATCTCCCTAATGTATGACTATATTCAAAATTTCAAATGATTTTATCAAAAAACAAGAAAGATATTGAGACTTTAGTTTCAGCCAATCAGAGCGAAGCGCACGTGCATGCGCGTGAGATCTTGCTATTTTGACCATGTCATCTTGTCTATGCTACTAATATATCCTTATATTATGAGTTTCAAAACATTTTATCTAAAATTAAAAAAGTTACAGCAATATTCATTATATTGGTCATTTCACGCGTTGCACGTGCACGCTCTTGCAAGCACGTGCGCGCAAAATGACCTTCGTTCCGCAAATCTACATAACATGCCTACTGACCCTAAAAAGGTTTCACCTTAGTCAGATGTGTAGTTTACAAGATCATTCGCGGAAAAGATTTTCCCAGGAAGAAGAAAAATAATAATAACTAGTGCTAATTGTAACGGGGACCGTTACAGATGTTCCCCAAACGCTCCCCAACTCCCTTTTGGTGCCATATTCCCTATAAGCTTCATTAAACTAGAGGTACTGTGAGCGATGAGCTCACTAAATGATACCCCCCGCCTCCCACATGGTTATAACTGGTGAAAAAGTCCGTGTTTTCCTGTGGCCGGGAAACCCAAAATATGTGTCGGATCAAAAAGAAAAATAGGAGGTGCACAATGGCAATATGTAATAAAGATTCTGTGAAAGTTTCATCAAAATTCATTCAGCGGTATGAGAGGAGTTGAGGATAAGAGATGGGTACCCCAAAGCGTAACAGACGGACGGACGGACAGACAGACGGACGTACAGACGGACGGACGGACGGACGGAATTAACGATTACTATATACCCTCCCGCTTTTCAAGCGGGGGGTATAATAAAACAAACTCTATGCATTTGAGACTTTAACAACGTTTACCCAGAAGTGTACCAATTTCATTCAAATTTTAGCATTGCACGCGTGCGCATGTGAATGCATGTGCGTAATGACCATATAATCTTGTCTTTACAATGTATAGATTTTAATATACTAAATATCAAAGTATTTAATCCAAACGTATTAAAAAATACGCCAATTCAAGTGTATTTTTGATTTTACTCATTTCACGTGCACGCACGTACTCACATGAGCATGGCGACCATACTTTCTTGTAGAAGTCCATTACATCTATCTATGTTCTAAATCCCACCCCGTTTGGTTGAAAACCAAGGGAGTTATAGCTGTTCGAAGTTTCAGCCAATCAGATTGCAGAGCACGTACATGCACATGTATACATGTGCATGGTGACCATGTCTTCTTGTAGAAGTCCATTATATCTATCCATATTCCAAATCCCATCCTGTTTGGTTGAAAACCAAGGGAGTTATAGCTATTTAAAGCATAAGCCAATCAGATTGCAGCGCACGTGCATGCACGCGTTTTCAAAATAATTGCTATATATCTTATTGTAGGATATCCTAATACATGCCTATATTTAAAATTTCAAAGGATTTCGTCAAAAAACAAGAAAGATATTGAGACTTTAGTTTCAGCCAATCAGGGTGAAGCGCACGTGCATGCGCGTGAGATCTTGCTTTTTTGACCATGTCATCTTGTCTGTGCTTCTAATATATACTTCTAATATGAGTTTTAAAGCATATCATCAATAATTTAAATAGTTACGTCTGTATCAATTATATTGGACATTTCTCGTGTTGCACGTGCGAGCTCTTGCAAGCACACGTGCATGCACATGCTTTCATGATATTTCTTTTATTACGGGCTGTAGATCTCCCTAATGTATGACTATGTTCAAAATTTCAAATGATTTTATCAAAAAACAAGAAAGATATTGAGACTTTAGTTTCAGCCAATCAGAGCGAAGCGCACGTGCTTGCACGTGCGATCTTGCTATTTTGACCATGTCATCTTGTGCATACTACTCATATATCCTTACATTATGAGTTTCAAAACATTTCGTCTAAAAATAGAAAAGTTACGGTTATATCCATTATATATTGGTCATTTCAAGTTTTGCACGTGCGCGCTCTTGCAAGCACGTGCGCGCAAAATGACCTTGATTCCGCAAATCTACATAACATGCCTACTTACCCTAAAAAGGTTTCCCCTTAATCGGATGTGTACTTTACAAGATCATTCGCGGACAAAATTTTCCCGAGAAGAAAAATAATAATAATAATAATAACTAGTGCTAATTGTAACGGTGACCGTTACAGATGTTCCCCAAACGCTCCCCAACTCCCTTTTTGTGCCATATTCCCTGTAAGCTTCATTAAATAATACAAACTCTATGCATTCGCGACTTTAAAAACGTTTACCAAGAAGTGTACCAAGTTCATTCAAATTTTAGCATTGCACGCGTGCGCACGTGAATGCATGTGCGTAATGACCATATCATCTTGTCTACACAATTTATTCCAATATACTAAATATTATAGTATTTAATCCAAAAGTGTTAAAAAAAATACGCTCATTCAAGTGTATTTTTGAATTTACTCATTTCACGTGCATACATGGGCATGGTGACCATACCTTATTGTAGAAGTCCATTACATCTATCTATGTTCTAAATCCCACCCTGTTTGGTTGAAAACCAAGGGAATTATAGCTGTTTTAAGTTTTAGCCAATCAGATTGCAGCCATAGTACACGCACGTGTATGCATGTGCATGGTGACCATACCTTCTTGAAGAAGTCCATAATATCTATCTATGTTCCAAATCCCATCCTGTTTGGTTGAAAACTAAGGGAGTTATAGCTATTTAAAGTTTCAGCCAATCAGATTGCAGCGCACGTGCATGCACGTGTTTTCATGAAAATTGCTATATATCATGTTGTAGAATATCCTTATGCATTGCAAAGTTCAAAATTTCAAAGGATTTTGTCAAAAAACAATAAAGATATTAAGACTTTAGTTTCAGCCAATCAGAGCGAAGCGCACGTGCATGCGCGTGAGATCTTACTTTTTTGACCATGTCATATTATGTATGTTACTAATATATCCTAATATTATGAGTTTCAAAGCATATCATCAAAAATGTAAAAAGTTACGCTTATATTCATTATATTGATCATTTCTCGTGCTGCACGTGCGCGCTCTTGCAAGCACGTGCGCGCAAAATGACTTTCGTTCCGCAAATCTACATAACATGTCTACTTACCCTAAAAACATTTCACCTTAGTCGGGTGTGTAGTTTACGAGATCATTCGCGGACAAAAAAGTGCCCAGGAAGAAGAAAAATAATAATAAGAAACAGAGTAAAAACAATATGTTCCCCAACTTCGTTTGGGGAACATAATAATAATAAGAAACAGAGTAAAAACAATATGTTCCCCAACTTCGTTTGGGGAACATAATAATAATAAGAAACAGAGTAAAAACAATATGTTCGCCAACTTCGTTTGGGGAACATAACTAGAGGTATTGTGAGCAATGAGCTCACTAAATGATACCCCCGCTTCCCATATGGTTATAATGGCAAAGTCCATGTTTTGCTGTGGCCGGGAAACCCAAAATATGTGTCAGATGAAAAAGTAAAATAGCAGGTGCACAATGGCAACATATAATAAAGATTCTGTGAAAGTTTCAATATTTACATTTGCAAATGTTTCCCTTATAATGCCCTATTTGAACAAGGCGTTTTTACATCTCCGTAAAATACGTTCGTTATGTGACCATTAATTGATTGTTTAGTCATAAGCAATCTACGTAATTTGATAGTGATGTCATAAGCGATCGCCGTTATCAACACATTTAATTTATACCGTTGAGTTTTGAAAAAAAAAATCTTTATGGATTTCAAACTTTACTTAAGTACCTTGCTATTTGTAATAAATCAGTCACAAATGTAAATATAAGTAATAAGGTATCATTTTTTGAGTTTTATTGGGACGTTAAACGGGTTGGCTTATGACCAAATCTTCCGTAAAGCCCTTCGGGCTCTATGAGATTTGATCACGTGACCAACCCGTTTTACATCCCAATAAAAATCAAAAAATGATTCCTTATTTCTTAATTAAATTTCACTCAGTGGTATAAGAGGAGTTGCGGATAAGAGATGGGTACCCCAAAGCGTAACAGACAGACGGACGGACGGACATACCGATTACTATATAGTATATACCCTCCCGCTTTTCAAGCGGGGGGTATAAAAAGATGCTTGAGTTTCTTTCTGTAAGTTCGTATCTGTATCTGTCGAATATCGCATGGATGCGAAGTTTGCTCCATTATAAGCAGACCTATTTGAGCAGAATTTATTCAAAATCTTATACATGAGCTTGATGTGGCCTTCAACATATCAGCAATGTATTTCAACATTTAAAGTTATTTCCATTCATATATGGACACGCTATATCCCAATGAACTTGAAATAAAAGATACCACCGTGTCTGGCACAGATTTTTTATATTTTGAGAGTATTTGTAAAAAAAAAAATTATCAAAGTTAATGATAAACATGATGACTTCAATTTAATTTTTCAATTGTCAACTTCCTTTACTGGTGTAAAAATAAACCTTATCACCTGCAATTCTCAAGAACATTACCTACGACAAATTTCAAAAACAAAGTTCGTTATAGACAAACAAGTTGATTAAACAAGAATATCAGCGATCGCGTTGAAATTCATCATTTCTCAAGTTCTATCCTTCTCAGCAAATAGAATCTAGCATTAATGAAGTATAAATAACACAGCCTTTTTTTCGAAAAGCAGCAATATTTCTAATATCTTAATTAAATATGAAGAGTTAAATATGAAGGTAAATAAACAAAATCAGTCACCGTCTCCGTCCTTTAGCTGAAAATAATTTTCTCGTGAAATATGTGGACGAAGTCAGACCATATAAAGATGCCTTTGTTCATTTATATAAGTTTCAAGTAAAAAGAAAAAAAACAATATTGAATATCATTGTACACAAGAACAGTGGGTCAGCAGAGTGAGTGTTTTACACGTCAGTAGAACAGGAATGCGTGGCAGTATGTGCCAGTGGAATGGTCTCGGATATCTCATCGTCATTGCTTTCTTCGAATATCAGTTTCTCACTCTCAGCCTCCGTTGAGATCTGACTGTATAATATCTCGCCATTAATCTGGATGTCTGATAATGACTTGCAGCACGGGCTGTTAATTTCTGCTACGCTGTAAGATTCGCTACATCCTGTTAAAGGCAGACCTATTTGCATTTCATCTGTTGTGGTGTTTCCGGCTGAATTGCTAGTTTTGGTTTTCTTTGCCTCCCCTGAATTCTTGTTTTTCATTTCAAAATTATTCTGGTTTTCATTTATTAAACTACTTGCTCCCAAACATTTCCGAATCCATTTTGAAATGGTACGTCGGAATTCTATACTCATAGAACAATACAGAACAAAATTAATGCTATTGTTTATCAAGGCAAGGATGTCCATTGTATCCCCAAGTGGAATGTAAACAGTATCGAAAAAATTCCGAAGAGTCAGGCTCATCACGAGTAATATCCCTTGCGGAAGTTCTGTCACTAAGAAGAGCACCATTACAATGAGCAACATGGCAGTGGTTCGTGATGTGTTCAAAGGACGATTCATCACAACACCCAATTTAGACAGCTTTTTGCGGTTAACTCGCCCATGGTTATCTAAAGTCTTGAGCAACAATGCTCCGAAAATCATCATTAACATACAAGGGATTATTTTAGCAATGATGCTATACAAAATAAAACTGATAAACACGCCAACTTTTACATTTGGTGTTCCAAGATGTGGGTCATCGAGAACTTTTATTTTTGGAAGTATGGTTCCATTTCTCTCCAAGGGCACGAGTTTTGAGGACATATAATTTGGAATCAAAAGGAGAATTGATCCAACTATCACTACGGACACTGCAATTCGACAATGCGTGATACGGCGCATATGTGTCAAACTTCCAGTTTCCGGTGAATGAATATGGACGTAGCGAAAGATAGCTAATGAAACCCCGAGCCATATAGAAATCGTATGAGTTAACGTGGATAGATTAATGTAAAACAACAGGAAATTCATCCATCCATGACTATTCTTTTCTGGAGAGAGCGAATTAGTAGGAAATTCAATATAAAAATGGATAACAAATGGCAAATATGCCATCATAGTTACGATGTCAAAAAACGCTATCCATGTCAGAATGGTGTTAATTGGCGTGTGCATGTGTTTTCTTGTGAGAACTGTAATGTTGATAATGTTAGTCGGGATTCCAAAACAGCAGACGATTAAGCTCAGGCAGCCATGCCACTTCCCGTACCATTTACTGTATTCCTCTAGTGACAGTCCCATCCCGATGTTTGTTAAGGAAAAAACACACCTGTAGAAGAGATGAATCACAGTTATAGTGAAAAAATACAAGACATATGAGATGATTGTGGTGATTAAAATCAATTCTTTAAGTTACAGATACACGTCTTTTTAAATAAGATATACATGCGATAAAATCCCTTGCCAAGAATTCAGATTTTACCAATTAGATGTTATGTGCACATACGTCTAGAGATTATGCTTCTGTAATCATTCAAAATGGTATATATTCCTAACAAATTCCAGAATAATTCAAATATTTCAAAACTGCTTAATTATTCCGTGTTGACACCTGTACAATCTGCATGAAATGTGTGGAGATAACGAAGGGTATTCGAGCTCAAAAGTCCATTAAATATAACAAAATAGGAGCGGGGCAAACACGGACCTCCATTCATTGGCAGATTTGACTTGTTTACCGTTCTCGCAAAATCGCAGCTAGCGGCAATCATCTGCAAACAGAGTAATTTTCTTCCTGCGAACAATTTTGTGTGCTGCGAACAATTTTGTGTGCTGCAAACTTGCAGCAGACTTGCTGTAAACTTGCAGCAGACTTTCCTCAGGGCTGCAGCAAACAAAATAGTGTGGTAAGGGATAAACTTTAACACATAAAGCAAGAAATTTTCTCATATAGAAATCAATGTAATAATCTTAAACATTTTGCATCCTAATAACTGCGTGTTTTCTATTATAACCATGTTCTTAATTATGCGGTACTTATTTTTAAAAATCAGGCAGACTGAACCACCGACATCCTGTGAGAAGAAATTAATTGTCTTTTCCAAGAGAAAGTGTTTAAGTCATTTTTCACAGTACGTATATATATTCAGAAAGTTTTAATTTCTTTAATTTACAAGATCACCTACCGAAAGTTTTTTTTAATATTAATTAAGCTTTGATTTTAAATGTCGAGTAATTCTCACATTTTCTTTAAATATATAACATTTAAGTTGAAAAGGGAATAAAAATATGCATACTTTTTCTGTTCTTTTTTCTAGCTGATACCACAACTAAGCTGCACGATGATAAAAACTTCCTTATCGAGAAGTTTTCGCCGTCCGTCTGTTTGTTTATTTAATTTTGTCTGTCTTTCCACCCTTACAATTTTAATGGTTGAAAGTACAAAAATTCTATTTATTTTCATTAAATAAAGTTTAAATTTACAAATTATTTCCAAAATTGTATAGGTCGCCATATTATTTACGACGGGAGACGTAAATAAACAGAAGCATATGTCAAAATCAAAAATCGTACATTTTTTGTAAACAGTATCATAAATATTTTGTAAAAACCGAGTCAAATGCATAATTATGATGCTGAAAGTTCCAAAATACTTGCTACTTATAAGATACTTTTGAATTGTGAATATCAGGGAAACTATTTTACATTAGAAGTACAATAAAGATGCCTGAATGAAGCTACCTGACCAGGAGTTATTGCCCTTGTCAACACATTTTAAAGATTGAATAATCGATTAAATAAAGAAAATTTTTTAAAATTCTTTTACTTTAACAATATTTATCATTACACCTACGAAAAATCATTCTTCCAAAATATATTGTTCTGCTGGGTATGAATTTAATTTAATAACAGTTTTTGTAAAAATCTATGACATCACAGGAGGGTGGAATTACCTTTAGGTTTATTTCTAAATAACAAAGTCAAAATTTAGTGGCATCATCCCCTTCTAAAGATCGACCGGGCCAGAGAAGACAAAACATAGGCCTATATGAAAGCGGAGATTCAGATTGGTTCAAAACATATATTCCCTTGGGTTTTGTTCTTGACTCTGCTGTGTCATTTTCCAGGAATAAAAACTACTCTTCCGCGAAAAATATCCTGCTTATCCGCAGAGACAAAGGTAATGACTTTTTCGCGAAAAAGCAGGATGCTTTTCACGACTTTAAGGGTATCTCTCCAACTAGCAAGGTAAAGGTTATTGACTCCTAATTTCCACGGGAAGGGGAAGTATGATTATACTGAGGGTAAACCAAGCAGAATGTAATAAAGCCAACTAGCCGAACTACAACGATCCGCAGCATTGTTTTATCCAAAATATTCACATGCCGACTCAGGTAACAGGTTATATAGTGTATTCAATTTTAATTTGATAAATCAACAACAGTTACTGAAACTGAATACAATTGTATACTAGTATTCGAAAAAGAAATTGAAAAACTAAAGGAAAACAAAAACATACATATGCAGGATACGCTCTAATTTCAGACAGTACAACTTCACATAGTAACTTGTTATATAATACATGGTGGTTTGCAGGTTTGAATGAGTAGATTAAAAATATCGCTTATATATGCATTCATGACAAAAATGACTGTAGTTAACTTTAAAAACCCCAAAACAACAACAACAACAAATTCACGGTCAGAATGTATTTTTTAAATAGATATATATTAATACTTTAATGCAATAATGAAGTCAAGATAATATGCGATAAGCAAATATCTAATTTTAGATTTAAAACCAAAGATCGATTTCATTTTATTTACTAATCGTATTATTTACTCTTAGGTTTGTTAATTGAATTCATTGAAGTTCAAAGAAAAATACAGGAACCAGTTAAGGATTTAGCGATAAATGAATTCATGCTTAAATTAAGTAAAAAAGGCAGATTTCAATTAAATTTGGATACAAAACCCATTAAAATCTTACGAACACAACGATTGAATTAAACATAAGATTAATGAAGTTTCGACAACTGAGATGATCTCCAGAGAAGTTCATCCATATTCTAGTAGATGTCATTCCAGATAGAGGAAATTAAAGACTATGACCTGAACGTCATGCGGGAGCTCCAATAACGCTTAACGGCATGACCAGCAATAAGTTTTGGGGTTTCCTGGCGTTTAATAGCTTACACCAGGAAATCCACAAATCATTTTATTCCTTTGAATGTATCTCTTGATATAACACAAGACCATTGACTGTGGCTCTCTAAGTCAAGTTTTTAAAAAAAACTACGCTGAATATTGGTTTATTTACAGATACGTATTTTTACCTTCCATCGGTCTGACTTTTCGAAAAGGAAGATATACATTCTAAACAATAAGATAATGAAATATATGGAGAATACGAGCAGTACTGAAGCTCAAAAGTACCAAAAATATTTTATTTCTATTGAAAAAAATAAACATGCATCCTAGAGACTAAGAAGGCTGAAAAACTTAATTGCTGCGTAGTCCTGGTATTTTTCTTTCAAATTATGAAATCTTAGATAAATCTGAGCGGCATTTTGTGCGTAAATATACATTTCTAATGAAAGACAATATGAAGTCTTTAAGACTATTGAATCTAAATTGGTTGGTTACATTTAGAATTTATTAAATTGCAGATTTTTACCAAAAACAAAACTAATGCAAAAGAAAAATAAATAATTGTTAAAATTTATCAATGTAATGAAATCTTTGAATTTGTCATTAAAACAACCAATAGCCATCGGGAAAAAAACTTTTCAAAAATTGAAATCCCCAAAGAAATTGATATCTCTTTGTTTAGATGGCGATTCCGAGAATTCTTAATATGATTAAAAAGCTTATTAGGCAAGACAACACGAAGTGATTTTTGAACTGGATAACAATTATTCAAATGTACGGTACGTCCATACGAGATTTCCAAATGACAATTAAACAGTGTGCGATTTTGTGTAAAGTCACATGAAAGTGACTTATTCAAATAAAAACAAAGCTTATATTTGCTTCCTTTAAACATAATTTGATCAGTGATATGAAATAAGTTTCGTCCAAATAATGATACAAATGGTATCTCATTAAAGGAATTACTTTCCATCAGAGGGCAATACAGCGGTCCATCCACTTACTGATTGAACACGAGTTCCTTCTTTGAAAGGAAATTACAGCGGGGATAGAGGATCATTAAAATTTGTCAGATGAAAAACAATCGTCTTATACTCATTAAGAACAATCCACCGTTAGCTGAATTAAACGGAGATAACGAATAGTATTCTAACTCAAAAGTCCATTAAGTAGTACAAACACGGACCTCTAAAACATCGAATTGTAATTATTCCTGAAAAGTACTGGAACTCATTTGTCTGTGGCATATTTCGAACCTCTTCGGATTTAAACTAGAGAATAAAAATTCAGTTAGCTTCATCGGCGTACTTTTCTTACGAATATTTGCTGTCTGCATGGAGGTTAAGCTTTTTAAGAGAAATTTTTTCCCTCTCGAAGTCTCAACAAACTCTTTCAATTATATGAGCTTCTCACACTTCTATACATGTATTATTTGCCACATAAGTAGACTACTGTACACTAATGTACATAATTCTATAAATCGGTTTTTTGATTACGATTAACGGTGTTGCCGCGATTACTATAAAATAGAGAAAAAAAAATATGTGAAATACTTTTAAAAAGTTAACATCTTCTACAGTTTTGTTCTAATTTCAATATTACTAAGTACTAGTAGATCAATTCTGTTTTCTTTTTCATTTCGGTGAAGGGTGTTGTTATGGTTACTGAAATAATAATGAACAAGACATTTCTGTGAAATATTGTCAAAACGCTACGTCTACATTTTCCATTTCTTGCTCGGATTTCTAAAAACAGTGTTGTCATTGTTTCTTAAAGTACAAGTTTTCTATGAAAACCTATAGTTTTGGTATGATTTTTAATACAACTTAGCACACAATTAAACTGAGATACATGATGCTGTTCATTTATAGCTCTACTGGTCAGAAGAGCTTATGCGATAGTAATGCGTCCGTCGTCCGTCCCTGTCTGTCTGTCTGTTTGTAAACAATTTTTCAAAATGCTACTCCTCATACAGTTTTGGTCTGATTTCAATATAACATTGCACACAAGTAGACTATACTACGATACATGATTCCGTACATCGGTTTTTGATTTCGATGAACGGTGTTACCTAAGTTACGATAAACAGACATTTCTGTAAAATGCATTCAGAATGCCACTCCTCCCACAGGGGCCGGTAACATACTGTTTTTGATTT